AGGGGATCAATAAAGTATATCTTCTTCTTCTTCTTCTTCTTCTTCTTCTTCTTCTTCTTTCCATACTCCTGTACATACAAAGGCAATAAGGAGGGAGACACACTGTGCAAACTGAGTTCAGCCTGAAGAGCCTAATGGTCAACATACCTACAAAGTATTGAGAGTACAGTGTTAAATATAGGCCTCATTACGTTCAGTTAGTCAGCAGCAGACTGAATAATCTACACACAATCAAATGCAAATGTATTTAATCAGTTTATTTTATGATAACTTACGACAGTGTGAAAACAGTGTGGTAGTGATGAAGCAACAGAGAATTATCAGCTGATTATGGGGCTCCCCTCAGCTTTACGGAACTTTATAGTGAGTTTCAACTCTTGCTTGTTCTGAACAACTTTACTGTTTCACTGTTCACGCTCTCATAGGCCTTTTCTACCAAAAGGGACCTGGTTACATCCCTGTTCGTGCACACAGTTTTGAACCATTTGGAACATTTAAAACTAAATTGGTTTGGAACCTGAAAAGTTGGTGCCCAGCTGAAACCAAAAAATAGGATAAATAAGGTTTTCCTTGGGAACCAAAGTAGGTGTGTCATATTTTACAGGTTGTTGTGCATTGTGTAGTGCCCTCTGTTGATGGCGCATCATTCATTACAATGGTTCTTCTCAAAACTGGTGGAAATATGGGCTTAGGAGAAGGCAGCTGTTTTCAGTGCAAAGGCCCTAAAAAGCAACTGTGCACTACCTGCTCTGCAGCAAACAGCCGACAGACACATTGAGCTGGTGAACTTAGTGGAGCATTTAGCAACTAGAGACAGATATTTACCTCAGGAGTTGGCAGATATAGCAAATATTTGCCACTTTGAACATTGATCGCTGATCTAATGTGTCTTATTTACCTTCAGATCCTACAGATCACTATATACGTCGCCTACAGGCTTCCTTATTCTCACTGGTAAGTTTGTATTTACTTCTAATAATTTTAAAGTGAACATTTGTATATTCAACCTCAGTTTTATTCAGGAAATATAACAATACATTGGAGTCACAGGAATATATTAAAATCAACTCAAGTTCTACATTTGAAATGTAACCCATATTTACCTAGGTCATATTGATTATTGAAATACTAAGGGATATTGCTGAGACCGACAACATAAAAAAGCCCATATACAAAGAGAAATATAAGAGCAATTACACATCTTTGGATCAAATATATTTGATGAAATTAAAGTCAAACAAAAAGACACACTATTATTTATTACTTGTTGTTACTTATAACATTTTATGGCATACTTAGCGTGGATATGCACGTTTTTTAAATGCGGGTAAAAGAAATTGACTCCTTTCCCATTGCTAGTAGACCGTCATGGACAGGGTTAGTAAACAGTAGAAAGCAATATTTGTTACTTGCATTTGGCTGCGAGCAATGCCTCATTCGCTCAGCAATTTTGTTATGTTGTTGTTTATTTCGAGCTAGTCTCACACAGCCAGAACTTCCTCCACAGTGCTGTGTCAGTGACCTGTCTCCTTATTTCCTCTTTACCCTCCAATCAGGAGAATTTCTCTCACCTTTCAAATCATTGTTGCAGGATGTTCCCATAGAATGTAAAAAACAACAAATTATTTTGAATTTCAACATAGCATCAGAAAAGGGGCAACTATTAGCTTGTGTGTCATGTTTCCATCAGTGCTCATAGGAGCTGGAGCTGATCAATAGCCATAATTAGTCATTTGACTCATTTTGAGTTGGGGTTGGTCAATACGTTCCAATTTTCTAACCGGCCACCATCATCCCAGCAACCAGTGATTGCCGATATATCATGCCCAGAATGAGAGTCCTGGCCAGAGCCGCTGTACATCACCTCGGTACTGTATTTCCTTTATTCAAACTGGACGTAGTAAACCCTTAATTCATCGAGTTTGATAGATTTTGGCTCAGTATGCATACTATGCTGCTGAACGTCTGTTGCTGAGTATGCTTTTCAGAGGCTCTTCAGAGGCATATCATTTAAAAAAAAAAATTGACTCAGCCAAAGGTTCTCCTTTATTCATCCAATTGCCCAACCCATCCTGGAAAGACAGATGTTACTCTGAACACTCTAAACCTCACCTTTAACTGTGCACTTGCCCTTTTTTATTTGGATTCTCAAAATGCTTCTCAACTGTACACAGGAATGTACAGTATTTCATAGCGTCACTGTATACCTGTCTATAAAATGAGTAAGCTTTGTTAAATGGCTTGTGTGCATTTTACAACAGGGACCCATCCGCTCATGGCTTCTTGTCTCTGTGGGAGATGGTTCGTTTGATCAACATGCTGATTGTCTTCCGCTTCCTGCGCATCATCCCAGATATCAAGGTACACAGCAGGTGTATGCTTTCAACTTTAGAAATAAAAAAAATAAAATGATATCCAGTAAAACTCAGTTATTAAGAAAACAAATGAATGAGTTGACTTTTTAAAGGATCAGGGTGTAGGATTTGCCATCTAGGATTAGGGTTAGTTTTTTAAAATTGATTCAATAGTACACTTTTGGTTACAGATAAACCAGACAGACGTAGCCCAAATTTCCCTGACTCCATGACAACATTACACTGTTTAAATCACCTAAGGCAAAATGACATAAGAAAAAAAAAATAAGAAAAAAAATAAGAAATACAGATCCATGCAAAGTTGACACTGTTTACACTATAAGTACATTTTGACAAAGGCTCAGAACACCCAGCACGCATAAATGACTCTGTCCTCTGACCATTCATATACAGATATTTGCTGAATATTAAAATAAAAACTTTAAGAACAAGTACAGTAGCACTCACATTTCAACTGGCGTCTTTTCTGAGTAAACAAACTTATTACAACAATAACAGTATATTGCATGCCTAGCCAAACATTTAGTGACTATCCACACAGCAGCATTGGTCTGGCCCAGTGACAGCCCCCTCTGTGTGTGCAATGAATTATGGTCAACAGGTGGTCCAGATCTGACAGCCACTTATGGCCCATGACATAGCCATATCTTAGTCAACTGTTTCCGACTCTCCTCCCTTGTCAAAAATAGTTAAATGAGGAAATTCAGCCAGTAAAAACTAGGCCTGAACACTGAAACCATTGACAAAAATAAATGAATAAAAGCAAAAGTGGGACTGACACTGGGATATACAGTAAAACACTACATATGTCTTTCCTCACAACACAAATCTGCATTTAAAGATGCTTAATAATCACTAACCAAGCGCACCCTTCCAATCTGGCCGTCTATTTAAACTGCACAACTGAACTGTGATAAATACAAATGCAGATCCCACCGTTCTGGTTGCATAAAAACCTTTTTACTCAGATTTTATGCATATGGTGGTGGTTTTCCTAAAATTAGATTTAAAAAAAAATCTCAATATACTGCCTTATATATTGAACCGTAAGCCCTGTATCATGATATGTATCGACAGATTCTTGCCAATACACAGCTTTAATCATAAATACATTCCTCTGTCTCTGTCCCCTTTTAACATTCCATATGTATTCATCTTGTTCTCCAGCTCATGGCTTTGGTTGCAAGTACCCTGTTGGACCTGGTGAAAAACCTCAGAGCCTTTGCAGGGATACTGGTGGTAAGTGACACCAGCTCTACCACGTACACTTACTGTTTGCTATAAAAATAGTAACTTTTCGGTCAGTCCCATCATCTACACATTTTCTAAACATTCATTTGAGATAAAGCTCATAAATTTTAAATGGCCTCGACGTACCAGTGATGTGCAGAGCTGTTTACATGTAATGGGATCAAGCCTATGTAGCAACTGATTGATGTCTTTTTTGTGCTCTCTGTGCAGGTGGTGTACTATGTGTTTGCTGTGTTTGGGATCTGGCTGTTTGAGGGAGCCATTAAACCTCCTCCAGAGATGAGGTATGGAGGAAGCGCACATGAAACACTCAGAACACAACAAGGACCATGACATAAAGCTCTTTCACACCTTATTGTTGGCAAAAAAAAAGCAGGAACAGAGCAGTTTGTTTCTCACACATTATAGTAACAGCAGCTTCTGACTACACAAAAATGTATATTTTTGCAAGCAACTTGATCTAAATACTGGAGGTCTTTTTTAGGTGCTAGACAGTCAAATTGTGTTTGTCCTTATTTACTAAAGGACCACACATGAGATTTCACACAGGTGACGAGACCAAAATACAAAACTACTACAAAATATAGAAAATATATAACAATATAGAGAATGCAAATTAATACAAATATCTGCTGCACCTGACTTATCACTGTATGAAATTTACCATCCCAGAACAATAAGTGTGAAATCTGCAACACTGCTTTATCAGATGCATACACACACACTCAGAGAGAGTTCAACAGTGTGAGGCTGTCAGAGAGAGAAACCGTGAGACGTTGTTCAGACAATAAAAACACTTTTGTGACAGCTGTTGAGAATATTGCAGCAAATTAAAAAAACATAATGAACTTACTTTACTGTGACTTTTAATGACTCACAGCAATATTACTATAAACCTCCCATAATGATTTTTTATTCCGTTACTGATCTTGTGTGCCTTCAACCAACACTCCAGGTTCAGCAGCATTGTGCTCACACTACAGATATGTGTAACAGTCTGTGGGGTTCCAAATTATGCACCTCTGGTGGTAGTTGGCAGCAAGCTCAGGAAATATTCCCATCAGTCCACTCACAGTTGAGCCTTCCTAAGCCCCGCCCCTTTTTGCTATGTGCTCCAATAACAGTTGAGCAAGCCTCGTCAGAACCTCAGTCAACTTTCTCCTTTCCTGTACTTGGATATGCTATGTGCTAGGCTAATCTATGTTGAAAAGACAATCACTGGTTCATTGACTCATCTCTGACTGTGTGTGTTGTTATTATTGTTTGTGCATCCCAGTGTCCTCTCCAATACCACCATGGAAAACATCACCTCTAACTTCAGCATGGAGTGTGGCACCTATGAACAGCTGGGCTACTGGCCAAATAACTTTGATGACTTTGCTGTGAGTAACAGTCCCAACTTCACTCTAGTGTTTTGTATTATCATTCACAGTGAAAGAAGCTAACCTGGGGTTGAATTACATGGTTTTGATTAAAATATGTTTGTTTTGTTTTATTCCTTATTCTAACGCAGTTTTTAAAACCTGTTAGACATTTGATGATGATGAGTTATCACTGTCAGCGATGGTTCACAGCTACTTTTGTGGTGTTTAGTGCCTGTGTGAATGACAAAATTAGCCCCAGCAACATTGAAATGAAATATTTTTGTACTGCTGAAGATAGACTGAGATACACTCAGAATGAAAGTGCAGAAGAGTAAAAAAAAGGTGTCTTTCCCTCCCTTCCTCTCAGGCAGCCATCATTTTGCTGTATGATGTCATGATAGTCAACAACTGGCAGGCCTTCATGGATGCATACAGCAGATACACCACAGAGTAAGAAAAAATACATTCTACATGCACAGCGGCTAATGCTGCTGATGATGATGTTGATGTTGATGAAGATGGTTTATTTTTCCCAGCTGGTCCAAGATCTACTTTGTGTGTTGGTGGCTCACCTCCTCTGTCATGTGGGTCAACTTGTTTGTGGCGCTCATCTTAGAGGTCAGTTCACTCATTCATTTATAACAGGGCTTGACTTCCAGTCACTGTTTCAATTATGTTCTACATCTGTGCACATTAAAGGTCCAGTGTGTAACATTTAGGAGGATCTATTGTCAGAAATGGAATACAATATTCATAGGTATGTTTTGATTTATGTATAATCGCCTGAAAATAATAATCATTTTGTTTACAGTACCGTAGAATGAGCTGTTTTTATCTACAGAGGGAGCAGGTCCTCTACTACGCAGGCCACCATGTTGAACTTCCATGTTTCTACAGTAGCCCAGGCCTTTTGTTTTTTAGGTGCATTTTCCATAAGAGACACTTCACAGTTCATTATTACTTACTACTTGAAGTTACTACTTCATCATTACTTGCAACAACTGGATCAAGTAGATTGCAGCAAACCTGAAACTGTCCTGTGAAAAGAAAAGTTCCAAAAGCCTGAAATATGCCAACAGAGACCAAAGTGTAACCTTATTGTGATGTCACCCATTGGTTTGTGGAGTACTGTTTTGAAGTTTTTTGATCAAGGTTTTTTTATTAGAATTTAGAACAGTAAACAGCGCCCCAGAGGGGCTTAACAGACAAAAAATAAACATACAAACAAACATAATAACACTAAAAGAACAAATACAACAACCTCCAACCCCTCCACCCCCAACCCAGTACCAGCCAGAGGGCATACACATTTTACAGCCAGACCACATAACAGAGGTTATCTCAGGACA